GGCCAAGGCAGGTGGATCACGAAGTCAGGAGATCGAGACCATCCTGGCCAACATGGTGAAACCCCATCTCTACTAAAATACATAAAATTAGCCGGGCGTGGTGGTGCGCACCTATAGTCCCAGCTACTCGGGAGGCTGAGGCAGGGGAATAGCTTGAACCTGGGAGGCGGAAATTGCAGTGAGCCAAGATCACGCCACTGCACTCCAGTCTGGTGACAGAGCGAGACTCTGTCTCAAAATAATAAAAAAAAGCAAACTCACAGGGCCTCCCCCATTCCCTTCCCAGTCCTTCCCCCAGTGGGCTAGGCTGGGAAACAGACACACAGACAAACAAAAACTAACCTGGAGAGGAAACCAAGCTAACACAATGATAAACCTTTTATTCTTGTCCCTGTGTTCATTGCCCTGCACCTGGCAAAGTGCCACTGTTTGCCTCTGAATGGTGGGTAGACATTTGCCTCTGACCTTCCAGCTCTGTCAGGATGATCTTTTTAATGCCACGGTGGCTAACTTTTTACCTGCTGCCTTTTGTGTTTTGGCTTTATTTTACAATCACTGTAATTTGTCATACTATGAAATCTTTCTTGGCTTCTCAAGAGAACAGATTTCATGTCTGAAGTGTCTATCTGTTGAATTAAAGAAGGTACATTTCTTCTTTGACCTTGGAATTTCATAAACAAATGAGCCACTTGTTGAAATTTTGTTCTTACTGCCATAATTTGTCATTCAGGCCTGTCAGATTTTAACAGTGCTTGAAGCATAGAGTTGCAAGATAAAATATAGTATCCCCAGTTAAATTACAGATAAGCTACAAATACATTTTAAGGGTAAGTCTCATGAAATATTGTGACATACTTATACCAAAAAAGTATTAATTATTAATCTGAAATTCAAATTTAATTGGACATCCTGTATTTGTATTTGCTAAATCTGGTGACACTATTTAGACAAGGTTGCCTTAAATTAGGTTTGCAAGTTACTTGTCTTCTAAATAGATGTCTCAATTGGCACTTAAAAGAGGAGGTCTCGGGCAAAGCAGTCATCTGACAGAGGAATGGGCCTCGCACCTCACAGTGCACAGGAAGCACCCAACGGGCTTGTTAACCTGCAGGGCCTTGCTCCTTGCAGGACAGGCCTGGAGCAGGGCTGTGCAGGCCCTGGGTGATCTGGAGGCTAGTCCCACCCACCCTTTGAAATAGGTGGGGTAGTATATCTTCTGGATATAGTCTGTCAGTGTTTGTGGGATCAACCCAATAGCAACATTTGTATTAGCAGTGTGTAGTAATTATTCACATACATAGCAGTAAATATTTCAGATGAGATGTTTTAATAATTTAAGCAAACTTTGAAACTATTTTGATGTTTGCATGGAAGAAAATGACTAAGGAATTCATATAAAAGAAGCAAGAGGGGAAATGTTCTGCTGATGAGAAAACACGTTGGCAGGCTGTGAGAATGGAAAATGTGGGATTGCCGGCCCGGGAGCGGGCAGCTCTGTGGAACCGGCGAGGAGGTGGCTGAGAAACACTTGGATGTGTGTAAGATTATAACATGTGAGCGGGGTGACCTCCCTAATCAGACAAAGGGAAGGCTTGAGTGCTAAGTGGGCCTGGTAGAACTGGTCAGCCACTTTTAGGGGGAAGGAGTCATTGTATTTTCTCCCCTTTTACTATCCCCCAAAATAAATGTCAGGAAGAGGAAAGAATAATACATCAAGTCAGAAGAGAAATCAGAGTAAAACACAGATGAAGGTTTTTCAATTTTCTTGATAGAGGCTGAAAATGATTTTCAAGGTTAAATGATGAACCAAAAAGATAAAGTCAGTAAACTTGACTACATTGAATTATACTTTTAAGAATCAAAAGTACAATTAAATTTAAAGACAAGCAAAGTGGGAAAAACATTTTCTACAAATGTGAATGAACTTACTTGCCTACTGCATAAAAAGCTCATCATGGGAGAAGTGGAAGCAAGTCTGTGTTCAGTGACAGTGGGCTGGGAGGCCTGCGGGCCACCAGGTATGGGTGCTCACCCAGGGCTCAGCCTAGCTTGATGTTTTCCATCATAAACAGATGAGCAGATTGACTCAGAAAATCCAGGTAACTGACCCCGAGCCCTTAGCTGATGAGTGTCGGGTTTGTGATTCATTCATGGACATTTTTTACTGGGAACCCCTTGTGCCCTCAGGATCGAGTCTAGCTGACCTGCTAAAGGATAGCCCAAAAGAAGAAATACAGAGGTCTAATTCGCTTATGAAAAATGTTCAACCTCAGCGTTATAGACCTGCATGTTAAAACCACAGGGTGGGGCCGCTGCTTACCTCTGGAATTAGCCAGAAAAAAATTCCAGAAAAATAAACAGTCACTGGCTGGCTTGGGTGTTATGAAACAGGCGGCTGCCTTCACTCCGGGTGGAAGGGTGAGTGTGTGAAGAAGAGTTTGACTGTGTGTATCTAGAATCTTAAAAAAGTGCACGTGGCCTCTGGCCTAGTCCTTCTACTTCTAGGGATCCTAAGCAAATAATCAGAAATGTGGACAAAGTTTTGTGCCCGAAGGTGTTTATTTGATCATTATTTATGCTGTCTGAAAGTTGAAAACAACTGCAGAGTGTCTGCTAGAGTAGTTTAGAATATGAAAAAAATGATATTTACCGAAGTTTTAAAATAGTTGAAGACAGGGACAGGAAAACACATAATTATTTACACAATCTGATTTCAACCGTGTCTAGTTATGTACAACAAAGGTGCAAAGACCACGGGAATGCTGTTATCCCACTGTTGTAGGATTTAGGCTAATTTTATATCTACTCTAGGTTAGATATTTATATAAAAATTTTCTTTGCGTGGATTGTTGTAAAATTCAGAAAAGAGGAAAAATATTTCTCTCAGATGCTGAAGAGCAGACTGGGTGGGAAATGTTGGCCATGGAACTGCAGAAACTAGATGGGAGATGGCTGAACTTGAGGGGCTGAGCTGGGAGGTACCACCCTCTTGGATAGCCAGGGGAACCCAGCTCCCTCCTCAGTGCCTTTTGTGGGGGTTCTTGAGGACCTTGCCCTTTCCTCCCAGACACTGTGTGCTCCAAACAGCCCTTCCCCTCTTTCTTAGTCAAAAGCTTATATTTCCAACAACCTGTATGTTCATCAGTAGGATATTGGTGAAATGAATTACACTACACATCTACTTGGTGGGGTACACTAGAGTGCCGTTGAAGATGATGATTTTTGGCCTGAAAAATTTCAAAAACGATATTAAAACACAATATGTGGAAGATAATTATGATTCAGTGTTTATCAGGATCATTTGTAATCCCCATGTGACTCATAGAGTATACATGTTCTCTACAAATAATCCAAACATTGCATAGATACACATGGTAATTGTTGTTTTTGTTATTCTGATGAAAAGAGGCTCCGTTTTAATTTTTTGTTCATTTTTTAGCATACAAAAATACACATTTTTACACTAAGTTTTACATCTGTGATTAAAAAATGAAAAGAAAGCTGTTTCTTTTGAAAGGGGAAAAAGAGAGAAGCTGATGAAAATGTCTCCCTTAGGGCTTTGTTCGTTTTATTTTGTTTTCTCCAGATATTCTGGAGGAAGGCGTGAACGCGACTTTGCCTCCCAGGGAACAAGCATCCTCCTTCTAAATGGTAAATGTGGGTGAGCTGACCCTGCTGGAGTCTGTCCCTTGGGCTGCCCTCTGCCTCCCCCCATTGTGAGTGGTCCGTGAAGCACAGCGTTGACCAGACCTAAACCTGTTTGCTCCCAGGTCAGTGTGCACGCAGCAGAGAAGTGAGCATCCATCCCATTTCATGCGTGAGCAAGGAGGGCTCTGGGCAGAGAAGCCGCTTGCTGGGAAATATTCAGGCGGAAATTAAGAGTCCCATTCCCAAGACCTGCTGCTTGGTCACCTTGTTGAAATCAGCGTGCCTTTTGAGTTTCTTGGGCAGTTTGGGTACTGCAGAGTGGTGGGAAGGAGTGTGGACTCTCTAACTCAAGACCCAGAACAGCCGGGACCCACTGGGTGATGAGGGTTGTGAGGGTAACTCACCTTCCCATGCCTCAGTGGCTGCCTCTGGCGGGAGCCCCGCTTGGCAGAGGGAGCTGTGTGTGCATGTTGGCTGTCGCCAGCACCTTGCATGCTGGATGTTTCACGTGCTTCAGTTTTCAATCTGGAAAGTCTCTTTTGCATGAATAGGAGGGAATTTGCTGAAGTCAACTATGATATTTGTGACAATGTACTAATATTGATAGTAGTTTTGGTGCACATCTTATACTTTCGGCACAGTTCAGACCTTTTTAATTACAATAGTAGTACATATGCATCATAAAGATTTCAAAGATTTTATAAATCTATAAGAGAAAACGGACATCTCTCCACCCCAAGTTAGTCACTGATAATATTTCTTTCCCCACATTTGAATGTGTCTTTCATTGGCTTCTGGTCCCATGCAGGTGTGTTTCTAGAATTGTGGGCTTAGGATCATAATATTGCTGTTTTACGTTTTGACTAAAAGTGTTTTTCTCACACTAATGTCTAAAAAGATGCCACCGAGCTCCTTAACATTTTGTGGAGGGAACCATTTATAAAACACTCTCTAGATGTTTCTGTCCCAGGTAACAGAATGCCCAGCACTTGATTACCTGTAGTTGTTACAGAAAATGCATGTGTTCCGTGGAATGTTAATTATTTGTATTCACTGCCTAAATGGAGCAGTTGGCAATAATTCTCTTTGAATTGCTATTCAGGGAAAGCTATTTAAGCCCAAACACAGGAGTAACTTTTAACTCCCTTGCCGAACAGCTTGCACCTTTTCACGATTAGCTTCCCTTATGCAGTCTATTTTCAACAACTATCATTGAAAAAGGAAAAAGTAAGTAAGTGGAAAAGAAGTAAGGAATTGAGGAAGAAAGGAAATGCTGGGAAAGCTGGGTGTTGAGAAGTGTGGGATGCTTCTTGTGAACTCACGGCCTTTCTGCTGTGGTCCTTTTTTTTTAGGACAAGGTGGAGCAGGCACCTCGCAGTCAACAAGACCCGGCAGGACCAGGACTCCCCACACAGTCTGACCGACTTGCGCATCACCAGGGTGAGGAATGAACAAAACACAGGAACACTCCCATTTCTAGCTTTGCAGCAGTGCCAGGACCTGATATTCTAAAATGTTGCTCTTCATACTTATAGATTACGATTCTAACATTGGTTCTTCTTTTCTCATTAAGGACAATGAATTCCAAAATAGAGAAAGATCCTTGGTTCTGATATCTTCATGTATTTCCTTTCAATTAGCAAACTTCAGTGAGCAAAACTTCAAGATCAGTTTCATACGAGTTATCTAGGTTTCAGCCGAAAGGCGACTTAATGTCGCCTATTGAAGGGTACTCCAAGGTGAATCCTCTTGATTTTGGCATTTTTATATTTCCAATTAAGATGGTTTTGGGTGTATGTACTCTTGGTCTTTCTCTACCTTTCTCTGATTCTTTTTGTTCCTTCTATTAATATTTAATTTCCAGTGAGGTCATTGTGGGAAGGGAAGGAAAGGGAACTACCTTTGGGAAATTAGACTACTTAGGAAATTAGATCTAATAAATGGAAGCTTTGCTGTAGGATGAGGAGCCTGAGGAGGAGATTAAACGAAACGTGCACATGGCACATTGTTTGGCTTATTGGAGAGTTTAGGTACAGTAAATCACAGGTCCTGGAGCTGGTGGGAATGTGAATACTTAGATTTTCTTACATTACTTAATGAGAAAGGTTGACTATAAAAATAAAAACTGGGATCTGACCATGAAGTCAAAGCAATGTTTTCTCAATTGTTAGAAGATTCATAAAAGCTGTCAAGGTTTTCTGTGGCAAGCATAATTTTAGGATCCTCTTTTAGAAAACTTTGAAATGACATGATGCGGGGAAAGGGTACCAATTTGTTAGTATTGACTTCAAAGCTTAAGAAAATTTTAACATGTTACATTGTATGCTCACAAATGATCTCACTTAAATGGAAATAATTTGAGCCTTGGTGTTAATGCTCATATAAAAACTTAGGTTAATACTTTAATTAGGAAACCAGAAAAAATTACACTGAAAGAACTTTTTAAGGCTTACCTTTTATCCTTTGTCTTTAAATGGTATGCTCAAATATTCTACAGATATCAAAGTAGTTCAATTAAGGGACATTTATTTGCAGCACAGAATGTGGAGCACATTCCATGTAGAAGACAGCTGGTTCTCTTCCCTGATGTGGAGTTACACAGTATGCAGTTGAAGCTGAGTCTCGGATATATCCCCACACCTGAAACAGGGCTTAAAGGAAGGGATGAACGCGTTACTATATTGAACCCCACCTCTGCTCAGCGACTCAAGAGGGTTGATACCTTTAAGCACACCATTGACACTGGCCACCTCTCCATCATTTTACATACACATAGCATGTAAAATGGGAAAGCCGAAAGAACTCAGCCTTGCTCAGACCCAAGCATGTCCACTGATCATTGAATAACTCTGTCCCCTCAGGGCTGTGGCTCCCAAAGCAGCATGGGTGCTGCTGGCCCGGGTCCCAGGGAATACAAAGGGCTGCGCTTTCCCTTCTCTGGCAGTGACTGGGGAAGCAGGGCCAGAACCAGGCCCAGCATATCCAGCCGAGAGCTGTGGTGGGGCTCCCCTGTTTTCCAAAGATGCTGGAAAAGGGCTGTTGCCTGGGACGGATTGTAGTACATGTGAACTCATGGCCAGGCAGCCGGGCAGAATGGATGCAACCTTGCAGCCAGAGCTAACCCAAGCAGCCTCCCAGTGCAGTGACGCAGACTGCAACCTTCGCAGTCTTCCATGAGGCAGCAGCTCCAGTCTGTCCCGACTTGACCACTCAGTGGGGAGGGGGAGGCAGGAAAAGAAAAAAATCAACCCACCTAAAGCGAGTCTGCAAACCAACATTCCAAAAGCACATGAAGCAGTCCCATCCTAAGAAATACAGTATAGCTAACAAAACCAAGAGATTACCAATTTAGCCCATATGCAACAAAAAAAAGTGTGACCAAGGCTTTGAAATACGTGTTTATAATGCTCAGACAGATGCATGAAAGAATCATGTCTGTAGGACAAGGCAAGAAACTATGAAACACAACAAGAGGAAATGAGGCGAGACCTGAGCACCCTGGGCAATGCCTGAAGACAATGCAGTGTACTCCCAAGTGCAGGGGGAATGATAAACATCCATCTAGAATGTTATGCCAACATATTGCTGACCAGGGAAGGCCAAATAAAGCTTTCTCAGGCAAAGATTGAGAAAAAAATGTGTCACTGGCAATCTTCACTAAAAGAATGATTATTATTTTATTTTTATTGTTTAAGAGACCAGATTTTGCTCTCTCACTCAGGCTGGAGTGTAGCTCGTCGCTCACTGCAGCCTTGAACTCCTGGACTCAAGTGATTCTCCAGCCTCAGCCTCCTGAGTACCTGGGACTACAGGTGTGCGCCACCACTCCCAGCTAGTTTTAAAATTTTTTGTAGAGATGGGTCTTTGCTATGCTTCCCAGGCTTGTCTCGAACCCCTCAAGTTATCCTCCCATGTCGACCACTGGAAGTACTTGGTTTACATGTGTGAGTTGCAGTGCCTGGCCTAGAAGAATGATTAAAAGTACTTCTTGAGGAAGAAGGAATGTGGATACTAGGGAAACATGGCACATATGGGAAAATAATATGTAACGAATGCTCAATTGTGTATTTAAAAATATTAGGTACATCTAAAGTATTGACTGTAATTACTAAAAGAATGTGTATATCATCTATAGTTCCCAACCTAGCAGAAAAAGATAAAAGGGAATATATATGAAAAACAACAACAATAATCAAACAACATCAAGTAGAAAACAGAAGGAAAAACAAGATGTGAAGAGAAAAAAGATATTAAACAAAATACAAAAGAAGATATTAGGAGTAATTCCAAGTCAATTCGTGATAGTGTTAACAAGCTCAAATTAATAGACACACATAGCTCCCTTTACCCAACAGAGACTCTTGATTCTTTTCTAAAACCTGTGTAACTTTTTGAAAAGTTGACTGTATATAGAAAGTTGCACTAAATTTTAAGCAATCTATTTCATGCAAGGCTTGTTCTTTGACCCAGTGTGAATAAATCAGACGTCAACATAAAAAGTTGAAAACAAATCACATAAACATGCATGAGGAAACTTTAAAACACACCCACTCTTATTTTACTTGTGAGTTAGACAGGAAATTGCAATGGAAATATCAATCATTTAGAACCGAATAAAAATGAACATAGTACAGGTGGAAAGTTGTACAATGCTGCAAAGGTGGTAAGGCTACATTTCTAAGCTTCAAAAAAACGAAAATTGAAATTACAGAAATGAAATAGAGTAAGTCTAAGGAATGTAGAAGGAATTAATCATAAAAATTAAAGTCAGAAATTGTTGAAATAAAGAGATTACCAATAGGAACAAAATCAAACACCAGTCTTTTTTAAAAACGACCATGACAGCAAACCTCTAGCATAGACACTCAGGAGGGCAGAAGGTGCCCAAAAAAATCATGTTAAGAGCACTTTAGCAAGTTTTAAAAACAGCGTCAAGAAAACTGTGAACAGAAAAATAGAAATCTGGGAGAAATAGATGATTTATTGCAAAAATGTAAAAACAAAATGGATTATTGAAGAAATATAAAATCGTAATAGAGAAACAGCTCTGGAAGAAATGGTAATCAATATTGTATCTTCAAAAATACTCAAGTGGTTTGCAGATGAGTGATATTAAACTTTCAAGAAACAAACAATTTTTCTTTTCTTTTTTTTTTGAGATGGGGTCTTGCTCTGTCGCCCAGGCTGGAGTGCAGTGGCGCAGTCTCAGCTCACTGCAAGCTCTGCCACCTGAGTTTATGCCATTCTCCTGCCTCAGCCTCCCAAGTAGCTGGGACGACAGGCGCCCGCCACCACGCCCAGCTAATTTTTTTTTTGTATTTTTTAGTAGAGACGGGGTTTCACTGTGTTAGCCAGGATGGTCTTGATCTCCTGACCTCATTTAAGTGTGTACACTCTTAAACACAGAGGACAGCAGCTTACACAGAGGACAAGAGCTCTCCCATTCATATCATGTTTGTGTATCTTTGAAACAGTACAAGAAATCAAATTTATAATACCATTTTACATTTTATTATAAAACAAAAAGTCTGAGTAAAACACTAATGAACCAAATTCAGTACCTTATCTTAAGTGAAATGTAAATGAAATAAATGTTATGACCAAGTTCGTTTTATTATAATAGTGCAGGGGTGGTTTACTATCATAAAACGGTGAACACACTGAACATGTCAGAATTAAAGGGAAAAGAATAATCATTTCACCTGGCAGAAAAGTATTTAATACAACTCTCCACTCATTATAATACATAACAAATAATAACAAAGTTTGTACTCAACCAGTACTGAAAAGAAACCTCCTTAACTTGTTAAAGTTTATTTATTAAAAGCCTACAGCATTGCATCATACATAATGGAAAACTGTTAGAGTCGTGTTCATGAACATCTAGAATTAGACAGGGGTGCCTGCTGTGACTGGAGGTCTTAGTGTAATAAAAGGAGCAAATGAAGGAACAAAAATGTAAACATTAGAAAGGCAGACTGAAATGTGTGTCTATTTGCAAATAATTATCCAAATAGAAAATTTACACACACATGTTAGCACTTTTAACATGAGCAAGAATTCTCTAAGCAGATATAATGTGAGATCAACATATAAAATGTGATAGTACCCTTGTATGCCAAGAAAAAACAATTAGGAAATGTAATGTAAAAAGAAATCCCACTTATAATATTAACAAAAATTATAAGCTGTCCAGGAGTATATTCAGGAAGATTACCAGCCATTATAGGATGTTTCAGAGCATAAAAACAACCAGAGTAAGTGTAGAGCTATACTATGATCATGGATCAGGAGACAGAATATAGTGCAGTTGTCACATTTTCTCAAGTTTTTCTTTAAGTTTAATGCAGTTGCAGCCAAATTCTTAACAGTTTTGTCACGTGTGACTTGAAAAATGTTTCCTAACTTTAATAAGAAAGAGTGAAACTCAAGAATTTGAA